AATGCCTGAGGCATCAACAGATATTGGAGGAAGACCGAGCAGAAGAACCAAGGCAAAGCAATGCTCTCCATGGGATGCACCACTGACAGATAACTGAGGTGGCTGATATTGAGAAATTCTACCAAACCTTGGAAAAAAGTTGAGGCATAGATCGTAGCAGCACAACAATAGATACTAAGCAAATCTATGCACAATATGTACTAAGTATCGAAGCAGAAATTTACCATATCAGATAGCATTCAAGGTGCAGATTGTACTGAAAATTCTCAAGATACAAGCAAAAACAGCATAAATTGGAAGACAGCCAAATAGTTGACATTGCATACAGGAATAAATATATAAATATCTCCCCAATATGTAGCTCTCCTAAGATGAGAAATTTTCCAGAAAATCTTAGAGAATGATAAGGCCAAGACCCTGCCTCAGTCAGACAGACAAACGAGGACTTGCCAATCAACCAGATAACGTGGTACTAGATAGAACCAAAAATCAGTAGTGGTGACAGATATAGCAGTACCAAGTGCCAGAAATACCAGGTAGAAGGAGTATGTGAATTTAGAGAAATGCCAGGAGCTAAAAAAAAGAGCTAGAGAAGACATGGAAAGTGAAGACCAAAATAGCTCCAACAAATTTCCCGAGCATCATCAGATATCTCTGTCTAGAAGTGCTAAAATACAGTGCAAAATCCTCAAGTTCTTAGGCCTCCAGCCGTGGGACTCGAGGTTGAGAATGACTTAATACCAACAAACGGTGAGAAAGGAATTTTTTTCTTTATCTGATTTACATTTTTTAGTTCTCTGGTAGTAATTTCGCAAATTTTTTCTTTGCTTTGAAATCATGCTTTCTTTTTCAGAATAGCAAAAAACTCACACTTCTCTATTTCATCAACAAGTTCCAGCTATTCGAGTTGCGCGATAAATTAAAACAGAAAAGAAAATTTTTTTATTTGCTTTGTTGAAAGGATTGATTGCACTACAGAAGATACAGAAGAAATCCTTTATTTCGATATAGCTGAAGAAAAAGAACAAAATTTTATAAAACGTGTGGAATGAAGAAATAAGACGATGGTGTTGAAGAAAATTTAAAGAAAAGGCTCATTTAACTAATTTTCGATGTTTACAGGATTTTAGAGGGGGTTAAGTTAAAGGTTTAGTAAATTTTAGTTTAATAAATTTTTAAATTTTGAACAATGGCCTTTAAATTCGTTCAGTTCTAACAACGTCTTTCTAATTGGTGTTAAGCAATAATAATTTGTATTATTGGTTGGCAGTTTTATTTTCTGACGTTGGCTTATAACTATCAATTAATCAAGCTTTGATTTTTAGCTTAATTTTCAGCTTGATTAATCTATAATTAATCTCTCTTGCCCTTTAATTAGATTTTTTTCGACAAAAGGCAATATATTTGTGAAGAATAGCAACATTTTTGTAGAAATTGCAGGTGCGCAGGTGCGATGAATGTTGATCGAAGCAACGAATGTGAATAGGAAAAAATCTGGCAAGCATTTTAATTGTTTCGTGGATTTGATTGCTTTAGCGGTTCAATTTTTCGCGCTAACTGAGAATGAAATGAATTAACTTCAGTCAACTTCGATTTTTACTTTTACTTCACGTAAACGCTGATTCTTTCTCGTATTTTCGATTAGTTCCAGCAATAAGCGAATTCATGAAATTTTTATGATTTATGATTTTATAAACATTGATAGACTATTGATACGTCAGAATAAAGAAATTTCGGAAGAAAATCTGCTTTGCTGATGGAGAAATAAATGCGAAGTAATCTGCAGAAAACTAAATCCCATCAAGAAAATGAATTTCGTTATTTTACCATTTCTTCGTTATTTTTGCATTTCTATATTTTATATTAGGTCGCAAGAAAATATGAAATTCTCAGATCAGTACTCATTCAGTCTCATTAATAAGATTTCAGACACAAGTAAACTGTGACTAGATCGGTTTATCGCGGAACGATTTATTACTCAGTAAGTATCCTGAGTTCGCTCGCTGTCTCTTAGCAGAAATAGTCTTTAACACTAAAAGTGAATAGCAAATAGTCTTGGTGATACTGAGACCCGCTTGCATTTTTGTCAGAAAATGGCTTTCTGGAGAAAAGAATTTATTCTAACAGTTGAAGCAGCAAAAGAAATCGGAAAGTGAGTGCTGTTAGGGAAAAAGGAAGAAGATCTGTCGAAGAACAATCTTTGACGTTATGTTCAAACTTCGAATTGCATGCATACACGCAATTTCATTAAGTGGAACATTTCAAATTCTTCGTTTCAGTTATCTTTTATCAACTTTAGAATAAATTAATCCTAATAAGATGAAAAAAACTTATGAAAAACTAGCGATTTCATCATTATGGATCAATGCTTCTCAACGTTTTTTCGCACATCTTTTCACCATATATTAGGGCGAAAATTCGCTCAAATTCGCTCAAATTACTGATTAAAGTTTCTGAAATATATCTAAATAAATTACGAAAAAGTTCAGCAGAATAGGAAAAAATGTTGCAAATCATTTCATTCATTCTGATTGATTGATTTCTTTTTCGCTTTTTATTTTAATTGCATTCTGAAGCAATTTTTTAAATTAGCTAAAATTGATTTTCAAAGGATATTCTTGAATTTACCTCTCGAATCCTCTTTCTTTCCTCTCATTTTGACTGAACTTTTGTTTTTTGTTTTTTTCAGCTATTTTATGCTAAATTTTAATTTTAATTTTAAAATTTTAATGTTTTAATATTAACAGCAATATAACGACCATCCAATTAGTTCATTTTTGAAATACCTGAAAACCGATTGGCAGCACTGACAAATTATTGGTGAGCATGATTTGATATATAACTCATTTAGCTTTTCGTTGTAAGTGTAACTTCTTAGTTTCAATAAGGTGCGATGAACTTTATGGAAAAAAATTCAAATTTCGTGATTTGCCGTGTTTTTAATTCGTGCATAAGTGGTGCTACAAATCTGAGGTTCTCGAGTCTTTGTAGCTCTAAATCTGGCTCTGCTAACAAATATTACGTTGGCTTCTGACAACATGAAAAGATCATTGAAGTGGAATGCCACTGCAAGAGACATATGAGTTGAACGTTTATTCGATCTTTCATATGGAATTGGCATTTTCGGTGACGGCCAGCGCATTTCATTGATTTTAAGAATTTGGATAAAGAGCAATGATTTTTTATAGACGAAGTGCGTAAGGAGTTTGTGAAGTATCAACAAACCTGGAGAAATTGGAAGATAAATATTGTGAGGGGAAAGGAGTCCAATGTCGATCTGCCAGATTACTAAAGAGAAAGAATTTGAACAATGAAATTAAAGGAAGTATCATTTTTCGAGATAAATCGCCAACTTGTCAATTTGATGTTTTATAAGTAGTCAGTGTGCAAACTAAATTCAACGCCATAAAAACAGAGGTACTTAGAAGAGACTGCGATATTCATAATAGTTGCTGCTTACAGTTTTAGAGCCAACTAACTAATATAGAATCACGGTAGTTAACACATTTTCAAAAGAACGAATTTTAGTCAGGCGTTCTTTTAGAGCGATTAAGCATTGGTAAGTTATGCCTCGGTCACCCATACGAGCGTCGATATCTTTTCCACTAACTGTTTCTGCATTACTTTCAATGCTGCAGGAAAACTCCGAAAAACCACACTTTAGTTTGCCAAAATTACCACAAATTGGTTTCATAAAACTTGACGGGTTGCTGTAAACTTTTGGCCCTAAATTTGACGATTTTAATATCAAAAATCGACCGACAACTCTCGTGAAAACTCGTCATCGCATATATACATATTTTATATACCTACTTGTATTAATCTTCCATCTATTTCATCCTTAATGTCGTAAATAATTTTTCCGATACTTTTGCGCTTTACTATTTTTCATCAACTGTAATAAATCGAGATGAAAGTGCTTTCGCGTTTGCGAGCAGATTCTTAAGCAGATTCTATAGAATACTCAAAATAACAAATTGATTTCGGTTACAGGTTTAAGGAATAGACTTTGTAAAAATTTTGAAACTGGCGTAGGCATTTTTATCACTTTATTTTAAAATCAAATTGAAAATATAAAAAGAATATTGAAGCAATAAAGCATTTCAAATTCGCAAATGTAATAGAAAAAACAAAATACAAATAAATTTGAAACTTTTATAAAGGAAACATTTAACAAATCGAATTAAATCAAAAAGAACAAGTTTAATAACAGAAGTTCTAATCAAACAAGAAAAGCGATGCGATATTTTAATTTATTCTAAAAAATGTGAAAACCTCAGTTAATAAAAATTATAAAATGTATATGTTACATCTACACTTCACAAACACAATACGTGCATTCATAAGGGCAATGAAACAAATAATGTCTAAAAAATGCTTTCGAAAGGTAGAACCAGTTATCCTTAAGTATTCCTTTCCTATAAACGAGACATTTAAAGATCGATGTACGAATAATAACGCCTTTGCCTTTCATCAATCAGTTTCAAATAATAAGTTCCGGGAAACAGCACCATATCCTCCGAAAAATTTTTGTGATCTAAGGCTTTCGGAGTGTAAGGAACTAAAAAGACAATTTGATAAAAACAGATGATAATATTGCAAAATATAAATTAGCATAATTTTAAAGAAATTTTATAGGTCAGTTCTGACAAATGATTCTGATATTGGAAATTGATAAAAACGTATAAAAACATCCGAACTGGTGAAAGTATTTAAGCTTTTCGACTAACCTTTGCCTTCAATGAGTGTTTCACGAAATTTGGTGATTTCAGAATATCGTTCTGCTGTAATATTTGTACGTAGATCTAATAATGTAGCTGAAGTATTAGCACTTAATTTCATTCTGCTATATTGCTGGCTCGCCTCTAAAATCTGATTGCCAAAATCAAGACGTTAACTCAAACAATGAAGCAATGACTGCAGTCTGCAACAATGTGGAACCTTCATATCGTGGCCATTCACGAGATCTGATTTTGCACATTAATTTACATCAAATAATTTCAGCAAATTTCGGACCTGTCGTAAAGTACCAAACTTTTTATACCTGAATTAGACAAGTCAACATCCCCAACAGTTGCTGAAAACATAGCCGAAGCAGCACCACTGCCGTACGAAAAAAACAATAAACGTTTTCCAATAACAGATTCGATGCAAGTCGATCTTTTAATTAAAAATTCATTACCATTAAAAAAAATTTTAAAATCCATCTTGTTCAACATTTCCAAACAAGCAAAAATTCTATTAGTTTTTTATTTCCTTAAACAAATCAGAGGTGTTCCTCTTGTTCTTTTTATTTTCCCAGCAGAATAATTTCGAAATGAATTTTTAAAATTCAGATAAAAATCTCGGATAACTTGCTTGTGAAAAAAGGCAACCAGTTGAGCATATAATGAGGAAGTGTACATGTTTCCAACACGGCGATTAAAAAACAAATATGGATCACATTTTAATTCCCACATGTCTTCACTGGCAGCAATAATAGCTGATAAAAATTCGCGATCAGTATAAGTTTCCTCCAAAGGCAGAGAACTACAAAAAAATAAATAAATGGATATAGCCACAAAACAAATGAATCCAAAACTATATGAAAATATCTTGTCAGCCAACAGCTTCTACTAACATAAAGATTTTAAAAGGATCTGCTAAAACAGCAATGAAAAGTGCAAGCCCTTTCTCAAAGGTAAGGTAGTCCGTAGAACTTTTATAATAATACTAAAAAGTTATTCACCTTTGTCATTCGCTTTTTCTGTTTTATTAATCAGATATTATTATGGCTATAACAAATCTTTAGCAAGCTTATTTCGCAAACGATGCAATCAAGTCGACTGATAAGCTGGTGAGATTCCAGCGAAACCGTCGATAACCGCCCATTTTCCCTTGGTGCAAACTAAACTTCCTCAATATTGCCAGGTATTGCAAGGACTCGATAAAATAAATGAAAATTTATGGTAAGCAAAATAGCATATAAAAAAGTGCAGGTGGTAAGAGTCGTCCTCAACTTCATGTTCTCGAATTGAGGATTTTGCACCGTATCCAGGATGATTTACTAGAGATTTGGAAGATTGAGGGTTCTGCAGTATCTTAGCAGTAGGCTTTTCTAGATAGAAATCTCTGATGTTTTTGGAATCCGTTGTCTATTGAAGCTATTTTTCTAGTTCAGAAATCATTATTCCTAGTGCTCCAATTATCACCAGAATTGTACTCTGGTTTTCATACTTTCTCTAGCTTTTCTTTTAGCACCTGATATTTCTCTAACTTATATTCCTTCTTTTTTTTCTATACCTAACGTCTCTGTCACTTGGTATCAATATATCTATCACCAATGCTAGTTCTTATCTACTATCACGATATCTAATTGACTAGTTATCAGTCTTGGGAGGATCTGAAATATATATTAAGCAGATATTCCTGTAGATATTATATATACATATTTGCATAAATATGGGAAAATAATGCCATTCTCACTGAATTTTAAAAAGCTATTGCCACAAAAAATGTTTTGTGCCATTAACATGGAATGGATTTTTGTTTTATTTTAGTTTAATGAAGCAATATTTTTTAGATATTTTTTTTCACTACTCTTTTAACTGTTATGCTGAATATCGATTCATATAACCTGTATACATATAAACTCTTCTCAGTTATCTCCAGCGAGAAAAAAAGTGAGATCCACTGCATTCTACCATTTGCAAATCTCACCTTAAATTACCAAGCCGATCTATTGCCTTTGATTTGAAATAATTTTGTTTTTTACGAATAAAATCACCATATGTTATTCTACCAAATGCTTTCTGCACAAGGCGAGAGAACGGAGAATGAAAAAACAAGGCATCAAATGTTGACATATTAATATCTAAAATTAGTGTGAATAAAATTAGTATAAAAGAAAAATTAGCATTGTAGTTTATTTATAGTGAATTTATACTGAATAAAATACCAGTTATTACATCATGGTTGTAAAATTATCTTCTCTAATCATCTGAACTTGTTTATTACAATTTAACCCAGGAAATCTAGAAAACAATTTAAAAAGAAATCACGATGAAAATAAATGAAATGAAAATAAATGAAAATAAATGAAATAAATGAAAAAAGAATACTACCTCTTCTATACAATTTCCAAGCTTTCTTGCAGTATTTTGAGTAAACTGCATCTAAAGAACGAAAATAAGATTTCAGACTTGCTACCCCATCAACTTGAGGATATTCAGTCGTCTGTCCTATCACTGGTTTGTAAAAATCCCACTCATTCGTCATAAACGTTGCACGCAGTCCACGATCAAATGAGATCAATGCATTTGGACCAATAAGAGCAGCAAATGCGCCAGCGCCTGAAAAAAAGTAGCATTTTTACTGCAAAAAAAATAGCGAATAACAAGTAAAAATCTTAGTTTTTATGTCACCGATGTCCACTAATATCCTCAAATATGGCCGCAAACAAAACTTTGAAACTGATTAGACATAAAATAAAAAATAAAGTGGAATACACTTCAGAAAGCAGAGCCGCAAAGCGATTAAAGTGGAATGGCCTATCACGTGATAATTAAAGCAATTTGTTTCTTATAATTTCAACAAATTTGATTTTAATTATGCTTTCATTTTTATTTTCAATTCCAACTTTTACCTCCAGTGCACCTCGCTGGCCCTGCTTCGTAAATTGCGATATCACCCATAACCACAATTGCATATCTTTCTGAAATTCTTGGGAAGAATTCGCATTTTGCAAAAAAAAATGAAATGCAAAATGTTAGAATGATTTTTAGGAACCAGATATAAAATACAAGACGATTAACATGATGGAGTCTAATGCACTCTTCGTGCACTTTATTATTCAGTATACTATTCAGTGATAGAAACATAGGAATGTCATCAATTAAACTGGTTTTAAAAATTAAAACTGGTAATAAGAAATTAATAGTACCTTCAGTTGCCCAATTAGCATATATCCAATCAATCGCATGAAAAAGTGCTTGAGTACCACCAAAACACGCATTTTTTACATCAACTCCTTCAATATCCGTATTATCTCCAAACATGTCCATCAGCTGAGTTTTTACACTTTTACTTTTATCAATAAGTGTTTCACTTCCAACAACAAGAAAACCAACATTTTTCGTATCAATCTAAAACCAAAATAATTTCGGATAATGTTCCTTCATAAAAATTTCAAAATTGGCCAAAAAAAACTTTGGCTTATCAACACATTATTGTTTTTATCAGATAGAAATTATTTGCAAATATATGATTTGTAAGATTAAAATCTAATAATAAAAAAAATGACAAACATCATAATTATTTAATAACTTCGACAAAACAGTCATACATATGGAAGCAACATCTTCATGGTCACCACAAAATCCCATTTGTTCCTGTCCAAACCCAATAGTATATTTACCAGAACTTACGTTATCGAACTTAAATCAAAGTAAACTAAAAAAATGTGATTAAAATAAAAATAACTAATTAAAAATTAAAAAATTAAAACAATAAATTTTAAATTTTAAATAATAAAAATGTTTCAATAATATAATAATAATGAATATTTATTATTAAATGTTATGTTTATTATTAAATTTATTATTTATTATTATTAAATGTTATGTTTATTACATTTTAGACAATAAAAATACTAAGATTCGAAAATTTCTGATAAAATTAAATAAAAAAAAAAGAAACAAAAAGTTTAAAGAAAAGATTTAGGAAATATTCCATAGGCAATCGAAAAAAATAAAAAATAAATTTTCAAAAAGAAAAAGGTTGGAAATTTTATATCATTTTCAAATAAATTGGATCATTTAGAGATCTTTTTCAGACAGACTTTCCAGAAAGATTTTTGGATTATTTGTACATTTTTTTGGAAGATTTTAAACCAGTTATAAATAAATTTCGGAATGATTTCGGAACGAAATTTCGAAATTTCAACATCATTGAAATAGTTATAGAAAAAATCCCACTTTTTCGTAAAATAATTAATAAAAATAAACAGAAACCATTTCTAAATCATTTTGATTAACATATGTGCGTGGAAAATAAAGTTCAAAAGCTCGAATTCCAACTAAATTAGGCGACATTTCAGCGATATTTGAATTCATTTTGCTAAAATTTATTTTATAAATTTTGAAATTAAAAAAAGCAAACAAAATTTTATATGAAACACATCGGACCAAACATTTCAAAAAAATCCCAATTAATTTACCATAAGAGCGAAACGAAAATAAAAACGAGTTTAAAACCCTCCACTTTGTACCGAAAAAAGTTCACTGGTCAATTTCGCAGTCACTGGCCATAATTTTACGGCCGGACCAGTTCATGATGGACGCTCTTTCATCGTTATAAATTCCGTATTCTTCGTTTTTAGATAAATATGGCAGTCGCATTTATTTTACTAATCATAAACAATAAAGTGAAAAAGATAAAATAAATTGCTGCAGAGTGACGATAGGCGAAAATTTTAGGTGATAAGGCAGATCAGTGATAAAAGTATAACAATGATAAGGGAAAAAGGTTTAAGAATAGAAGGAAAAAGGAAATGAGGAAAAAGAAAAACATGAAAAACATGAATTTAGCAAAAGAAACGAATGAGCACAGCCAAAAACAGAAATTGCGCTCTTTTCAACGACAAACGATTACGATCGTTTGACAAATTTCATTGTCGCGTTGAATATTATTCGAAATTTTGTTAACAAACTTTCGTCTAGGTAAACAAAAACTATTTATGAAAAAAATTTTTAATGCAAATAATAGCAAATGAGAAAGAAAAATCATTTCGCCCACATATAATTCGTTTTTCGAGGATAAAATCCTTAAATTTTCACTATATCCACTGAAATGCATTTATGATTCTCGAAAGAATTTCTGAATAAAAAATTAAGATTCCACGTTATCTTAGCTAGGGAGCGCTGGAATATGCCGAATTGTTGTTGTCAGATTATCTATCGCGTTCATCGTTCAATATTCAGACACAGCCTTTGATAAAAATAAATCTACCGTTAAAACATCCGCGTGGTACTAGGCATCAATAATTCTATTTCTATTCCCAGGTTACTTCCAAATAACTTTTTTTAATTCAAAGGCGCCGAAGTGAAAGAAGATACAAAGTGGAAAGGATAAAGTACATCACTTTAAATTGATTTATGGTTACACATAAAGGCCAAGGTCAAAAGACCATAATTTTGCTGCCTAACGGGTAGTAAACCTACCATCACAAGTGCATTACAGAGACCAAAGACACGGTAAGGTAAAAAGAAAGAAAAAGAAAAGACATGGAAGAATGGTAAAAATTGATTATGCGGAAAATAAACTGAAAAAGGAAAAGAAAAAGAGAAAAATTGGCAAATGCCCATTTAACCAAAGTACCATAATTAAATAGTGTTAAGTAGACCGGTGGGCGTTAAACTGGACCCTCATAGGATCTGTGGTGGGGAGCCTCAGAAGGACCGTGGAAGCCATAAGTCTTATCTCTTATTTGAGAAAAATTTTTAATGGTTGTGCTTTTATGCGCTTGCATTTTGGGTATTTTTTAATTATAGAAAAACCTTTTAACCTTTTCAGAGCTTTTTCCTACTTTCCTTCTTTTCACTTCCTTCTTTTTCTTCTTTCTTCGCCCTTCTTCTTTTTAGAATAATTTCATTGGCAGTTCGATTCAAATTTTTTTCATCAAAGACAGCTAAAATTATTTATAAAATTTATTTAAGTGTACTGGAAACTAAACCAAAGTGTCAATCACTACATACATACCTGCAAGTCATCGAACATTTTCATGTAAGGAAGTATTTTTTTAAAATTAAAGCAATAAATAAAATTTCTCGCATCCATCAAAAAATCACAAATCACGAATGTTCGATGTATTAGCAGACTGTGGAGAAATAAGAAAAGAAAAATAGCGCGCAATTTTAACAGAAAGGTACGCTTAGATAGACATGGCTGCGCGATTTTGTCAACTCTTTATACGCGCAAAATCAAATTTCTAACGACTTTTTAATGGATTGAAATTTCTCTAGCTAACGCAAAGGTCAAGACGATTAAATTTACGTTAAATCACGTTTCGTGTTTAGCAGCATTATGAAGAAATATTTTCTCACCCCTTCCAAGTCTCTTCAGAATCCATAGACTTTTCAAGTTTGCTTTGTTTCTCTTCTCATTGCAACCGAATTAATACTTGAAACAATTTCTTGACAGAATACTTTTCGAGAGACCACGGATGGTCACAGTAGTGGTTCACACGAACCTGCGATTGTGGATGATGACACTGGGACAGTATGAGTCCATGTGACTTACAGACCCAGGATGGTTTAGGTGTGTCGCATCACTAGGCCATCTTGTCTGAGCTACACAGAGCGCAGCGGTAGGTGAACGAAGTGATCGGGTGGTCAGCGGAGTGTGAGATGGAACCAATGTTAATAAACAATTTCGGTTGGAGTTTGCAACGTCAGATTTGGAACCATTTGAAGTCAATGAATGGAGCAAAATGACTCACGAGGAGGTTTACAGACTGTAATTTAACTTGGTCCTCAACCAGAGCCATAGTTCAGGGAACTTGCGAGGTACTGGTTTATACTCATCGTACACTGGCGACGCCCCTTCCTGGCGAGTTCTATTTTACTGAGGATGTTTACCGCTTCGGTGATCTTTGTTAACCTACATAGCAGTGGCGTTGACCCGCTAAAACGACGTCAACAAATCCCGACGAACGAAATCCCGCGATCATCTGTTGAGGTTAAAAGTATATAGAATAATAAGAGTGTCCCATAGAAAAAAATATGGCCATTACGTTCGCATCGCATGGGCGGCGCGTTTCTCGACTAGGCAACGAAAATTTGCCCATTGATTATCTATCGTTTATCGGTAATGGGGCGTTAAAGATATCGTCGTTGCTGCGCGATTTTGTCGACTTTTTTGTCGATACTTTTTGTTTTTGTAAGTTTTTTACCTAAAATTGTCGAATCTTACAAAGAGTTTTTAGTAACGTTTATTTATTTTACTACTAAACAAATAAAAAGAAGTTTGATTTGCAAAAGTGTTCATTTTATTTGTAAAATTTGTTTAATAAATAAACCCTTTTAAGTTTTCGAAAAACTTACTAAAAACAATTTAACGTTTACTACATTTAACTACATTTTACTACATTTACTACATTTAACGTTTATTGAAGCATTTAAATGTTCCCGAATATTTTAATTTCGTTGCGACGCTCCCTCTATTTATAGTTTTTGCCAAAGTGCACTACTGCAGTTCCCATCGCGGCGTGCGAGGCCTGCCGGCAAGCCGGTTGCCTCTTGGCGTATCGCGGATTGGAGAAAGTTGAATTGGTGCCGGGCGAGTCTGCTGTACGTTTAGAGATTGCTTCGTAGTATGGTGTCGCACGGTGCATTAGTCCTAAATTTGGTTGAATAAGAGAGTTGACCAGAAAAGATTACAGATTACCTTTCCTTTGTCCTACATATATTTTCTTGTTTTTTAAAGCCCATTTGGTGATTCTGGGTTTTTTAAAGTAGCTGCCGCGGCCATGCTACGATGGTGATGCGGCGAAAAATTTGTAGATTATTGTGGGGAGATTTCACTGAAGCAGAAAGAATTCTTCTCGATCTGTTTGTGCTAGTGCTTTCTGAGTCAAAGTTTTCAAATTTGAATCTAAATTTACTTCCCCATTTCAATAAAATTGATTAAATTATGCAGAGACTTCGAAGTCATAACGTATATTTTAGGTCAAAATGGCTTTTAAAATTCATTTGAAAAGGACTTCGCCTGGCGAAAAAACATCCCAATTAAGTAACGTCAACGAAGAAGGATTTTCTGTTCATAAGAACAAACAATGTTGGTGGTTTCTTTTTTTGTGAAAATTTAATTGTTTCATAATCGGATTTATTTTTTCCCATTTATTGATGGTCTCAAAATTCTTTTTAAGCGAAAAGTAGAAATGCTATTTTTGCAGATGTTGAGTACAAGAAGAATTGTGAATCTTGTTCATTCTTCGCAGTCAAACGAGCTAATAAAGACACAAACAATGGATCCGTTTTTGAGCGAATGGTATTGGCAAGAAGAGGGAGATATCCCTGCCTACAAGTTTATTTTGCAGAATTTTTTCCGGGGAATTTCATTTGGGTATTAAATTTTTTTATTTGGTCAGATTTGTGATTTATGTAATTTTCAGATCGTCTAAAAGTTATCATTCATTTGAAATTAGTGATGAAATATGTAATAGAGGTGCATTTTCACCAAATGGTAAAGAGTGTAACGATGATTTACAACATGCCTCAAATGATATTTGCCCACTAGATATACTGGAACCTAGTTTTTCACACGACAATCAGCCTGATTGGCTTGAAGAATGGATGGATATGCACGGAGTACCAGATATTGTGGATGACAGTGATTATCAGGATTTTGAGAAATATTTATTCAAGTTAGCGGAACAAGATAATTCAGCAACTGATCATTCTGGTCAAGTTGGATCCAGAAAGGATTGTGCTTTGCAGTGTGAGGTTCAATCACTGGAATTGTTAGAACCGGTTAATGGGCGTCAGCATTTACCTACTGCGGATCATTATACCTCTCATGAAAAAAAAAAGTCTTCAAGAAAAGCGACAAACAGCCAGCAGCATTTCTCCCTTCAGCGAAAATTTCATGGAGGCTGTATTTGCAAACCATTGAGAAAGGTTCTTCTTCAAAGTTTCTTTAAATCAGTTGAATTTGCCCATTTTTGATAAATAATTCGTCTTACATTTAGGAGCCTGGATTCGATGGGAACATGTCTGGCAAAGAACAGTGTCCACGTCTTAAGAAGGTGCCATTTTTTTTACAAAACATAGCAACGTGTTTATGATTCATCTGATTAAGCACTGTGAAGCGAAGGGTATAGGTTCAGATGTAAATCGTTTTGCAGATTAGAAGAATTGCATCAGCGGTGGACAATGATGGAAATTTGGTTGAAATACAATCCACTTTGCGTACAGTTGCAATGTGGAACGGAAACAGGTCTATTAACGAAAGGAAGCGAGAGCAGAATCGTTCAGCAGCAGTCCGCTATCGCGAAAAACGTCGGGAAGAAATAAAACGGATGAGAACAGAATTATTTGGCTTGGAATTGCGAAATGTGCAGTTGAAAACTGAAATGACTGGTCTCATAAAGGAAATTGACTATTTGAAAACATTTCTTTTATCTAAATAGATTTTTTAGGCTTTGTAGCTTATTACAACGTTTCATACCACTGTTGTTTTTCTGAATTTCAGTGCAAAATATGAACCTCAGTATTGTAACCATATTATAGATTGATTATTCACTGATTGTTTGTTATCATATTATCATGATATCAATTTAATGGTTTCGTTTTTTTTGTTTATCCCGTGTAGCTTTGTCTTATTACTCATAATTTCCAGTTAATAAATGAATTAATTTATTATCGATATCGGTAGAATAATATGAAAGGCAGAATTTGACGTTTTTGCTATTTTCTTACCACAATTCTGGTCCTATCAGTTAGGTTGAGAAAATGTCAATTCCTAAATGGGTTGTATGGGGTCAAGAATGGTCAAGAATTGTATTTGAAACAGCAAGCGAAGAGGTGAACTTATGATGAATTTCTTGGAGGGGGTTGGTTGCAGTGTGCTGTAATAGGTGTTGAAGTGCTGGATGGGGCAGAGTGTGCAAATATCAGCGCGAGTGAAGCTCCGTGGCCATAAATTTTTTCCCATAAATTCTGTTCGTGTCTGCAAAACGGGTTTTGTATTTATGACAGTTTTCTCATTCGAATGGACGAATGGCATCGAAAAAATCGGTCGATATTCGTCGCATCAACAGCATCAAATTTTCATTTTAATTTTATTCTGTTCTAAAAGCTCTTTCACGATTGAATTATTTAAGAGATATGCATATTGGCTGCTTTATAGAAATGTTCCAGCCTGGCTGTGGCCGTAATGAATTAGTTTAGACTTTTAAGAGCATCCTAGTTTCCGCAATTTTTCAATATATGGTCTCACTTATCATTGTATATTTTGCCTAATTATACTTTTTGCATAATCAGATAAGTGTAAAAGTTGTAGTAATATGTCTGGAAGTGGAAAAATGTCCGGAAAAAATGGTGATCTGCCGGATAAGCCGCCATCGTACGCAGATATATGTTTTGAAAAAGGAAAGCATGCAAAAATCTATCCGGGAATGCCAGAAGATAGAAGCGATGAAAATGGAAAATTCAAGGAAAATGAACCAGAAAAAAACGAATTGAAATATAATTGTGCTACGAACGATATAAGCTTGTTTATCAAAGCTGTCGATTTTGCTGCAAGACGACATCGAAATCAACGTCGAAAGGATCCAGCACAAACACCTTATATTAATCATCCAATAGGTGAAGATTTTATTCATTTAGTTTTCTCGCTTATAAAAATTCCTCTTCAACTTGTCTTTTTCTGTATAACAAATGGGAGTAACCAAGTAGCCAAGAATTTATAGCCGAGTGCTCGTTGCTCGATTGGAATGGTTCTTGAGCGTCGGGATTCGGGTACTGTCTTGGACAAGAGTAAACCTCTTATCAAAATATCCCGAGAGAAATATACTCACTTTACTCACTTTACTTCAATTCCCCAGCTGAACCCTCAACAAAAATCTTCTTCTGGTACCAATAGCGAGTGGTACAAACCTAACCAAAAATGATGACTGCTCTAATCCATATGTCTTCCAATTTCTAAAAAAGAAAATTCATCTCTCCCTTAGATTGAAAAATTAATTCTTTTATTTCTTTCATTTCTTCCACTTTTTAAGTTTATTGATACTTTGAGCTTGGAAAAAGTATTTGATAGTTATTAAAAGTAATTTATTATTGGTAAAAATAGCATTACAGGCGTTGCAAATATATTGATAAATGAAGCTAAAATAACTGATATAACAATCTTGATTTGTGCTGTTTTGCACGATCTTATCGAGGACACGAAAACTACATTGGAAGAGATTAAAGAACAATTTGGTGATGAAGTAAGATCTGTAAAAAAAATTTTACCGGTTAATAAAACGAATAAAGGCTAATGATTTAATCAAGCAGCACGAGTCTTCCTGTGGATCTTTTTTTTGGTCAATAATTTTCTTTATCGATCTTATCTTTAGTCTTTCAAGTAGATCAGATACTTAGACGGGATAGCCAAGTTCGCTCAGATCGCTAGATTATCGTCTCAAGTGTTAAGTTTCTCACAGGAGAAAAAAAGGAGAAAATACCATTAAAAGGATCCACTTTTTGCTAGATAGCCACCTGCATCTCTAACTTGTTGACTCGCTAATAAAAATTAATAAAAATTTATCAGTGGAGTGGGCCTAACCAGAAATGGTGAGCACTAAGCAATTACTTTACATAACTGTAGGAAATATGCAAAAGCATCTATGTGAAATTTTTCGTAATAATATTTTTATTGAAACTTTTAGGTTGCTAGTATTGTAAAAGAATGTACCCTGGATAAGTCGCTTTCTAATTCTCAGCGAAAATCTGCTCAAGTCCAACGTGCATTAAATATGAGCCATAAGGTAATTCCTTAAAATTAAATTTTACAAGCATTAAATTCCATTAGTGCAAAAATACAAAAATCTATAGGCGTTAAAGCAGTGGTGGGCAAAAGGCACGTTGCTTGCGGCCTTCATAACTTTTGCAACAGAATACTTAATTCAATAATTTATTTAGTAGTAAATAAAGTATATTTTCATTGTTAATATCTAGCAATTGTTGGAAATCATTGTGTCAAATGTTTCATCAACTTCGTTCCACTTCGCAAAGTTTTGCTTCAAATTTAGAACAAAATATTTTAAAATTGTGAACATTCGAAATAATTTGAGTCAAAATCAGATTTTTCAAATTTCTTCTTACTAATCAAACTAATCAAAAACATATAATGAATGGAGGGAGATAAGCTGACAATTTCTAAGACAAAAAGGACTCTTTTACAAGAGAAAACCGAGAATTTCATGATGAGCGGGGAGTTCTTTCTTTTTAAATGAGAAAATGAAATGGCGCTTAATGCAGTTATTAAGTTAAGCAAGTTAAGCAAGTTCTTGACGCGGGAATTTTTGCATTTAATCCTTGCGGCTTTCTCAGAAATTCTGCCGAAAACTTGGTGTTTACTAACAAAAAGGTTTTGCCTACCACTGCCTCAAAGAATCTTATTATCGTTCCATTAGTTTTCTTAATAAAAACTGCCGAAATTGAATCGGTTTATGAAAATCAGTTTATCGGTTTCGGTCATAAAAATGTGCAATTTGTTTGATGGTCTAGAAAGATGAAAAAGTAGAGTTTGATACGATTAGAAGCAGAATGAAATAGATTTTCCTTATTTACAGGCAAAACTAGTTGAAATGGCGGATAAGTTGTATAATCTGAGAGATATTGCACGAGTCAAACCGGTTGGTTGGACAGATCACTATAAGATAGAATATTTCAAATGGGCGAAAGAAGTGATTGCAAATATGAAGGGGTCTAATGAATTGCTTGAGGTCGCCCTTGACGACATTATCAATAGTAATCTTAAATAAAGGTTAAAATGTTAAAAATTCTAAAATTTAAAAATTTAATTTAAAAATAAAAAATAAAAAAATTCCACAAAAGATTATCTATCGAATTTTGCAATTTAAAATTTTTCTATCAACAGAATTGATTCTTATTGGTAAAACAATGGGGAGAAGATTCCACTTTCATATATTCTACATAATTTTTTTTTATTTTTTTATTTTAAAATTTTACTGTTTTAAAATTTGCACATTTTATTTAAATTACGTAATTGTTTTTTAAAGCAATAATACAAATGTTTTCTGTCAATTATTTTTATATATTTATAAATTCCTCGAGAATTTTTGCTGCTTTCCTCAATCAGATTTTTTCACTGCATTACATTACTCTTCGATTTTCCTTCAGTCCTTCAGTTTTTGGCAAATATTCATTGATGTTTTGGATGATTACACTTTCGGTTTTTTTTTTGATTTTGCTCGAAATCTATTTATTATACCAGTAGAATCGTGGCTTTTCCACTCAAATGCTTTTTTTTTATTTTTTTCAATTTCTCCTAAATCTTCTGTGATCTTTTGATAAAAAAATTCTTTCCCGATTGCATAACAGCATTCATCTTTTATGAAAAACTTACTTATTTCGTTTTTTTGCTTCCATTTCCATTTATGTTTCCATTATGCAAAAATTACCAAAATTTTACCCAGCATTTTCCGTTATTTTAACGAAAAAGCATTTTCAAAGCAGGATAACCAAATGGTTTTAGTCCATATTGTGTCGTTTGAAGGGGATTCGGTTTCTTTCGACAATAGTGTTATTAAAAAAGAGATGGAGCTGAGGACTCACTTGTATCTGCAAGTAGCAAAAATTTTTCGTCGTTCTAGCACTCAATGAAGCGAGCCCTAGCCTGAAATAATGGGCTTAACCACTTACTTTACTTATATTGCTTATGGGAGGAAAGTGGCAAACTCATGTTTTAGCTTAAAGTTGTGGTTTAGCCAAATCTTTTCTCTCATTCCACCGTTTCTCATTTTTGAACCCTTTGGTGAGATTGAGAGATTTTTAAATACTATAATAAAAAAAAATTTCTTAATATTTACATAGTTATATGCGAATTATATGGAAGAACAACAATAATGAAATAAGTCACAAATAAATACAGTTGTTAAGTTAATAAAAAATTGTAAATGCAGCTAAATGAGAACCAAAAAATGGCATTGTTAATCATAAATCTTATCAATCTTATCATTCATAACTGATGCAAAAGGCGAAGCAATTATCTTTCTTTTTCCTTAAATCACAGAATTTCATTGTTAAAACCACTTTTTTTCTGTGAAAATTGCTTCTTTCCAAAAATTTTGAAAATAATTAATTAAAAGATAAGCAAAACGTTTGCTTTCTCTGTTTATTAAAAACAAATAAATGCTACAATCAAATAATTAAGTATAATTAATAAAGTATAAATAAAAGTAAGTTTTCACGAAATCCATTAAAATGAATAGGCACATTTTGAGAATATTAAGTAAGCCTTTGTTATTTATTTGTCTTCTTCCAGATACTTACTGAATTATCGACAATATGCTAAGACCAATAAAATGAGCTCAAATATACTTGCTGAAGATAATTATAAAGTACCAAGAGAAGTACTAAACATCAGTGATCCTCGAATTTCTAATAGATGCGGCAGAATATGGCGGTGGTCTTGATAGTATCATAGAATCTGATGTGGACCTATGCGGTACATTTGAACTGCTGAAATATGCATAATTTCGTTAATTCGATCATGAAATAACATTACATCCTTTATTATTTAGATGTTTTTATAGTGCTGAAAACTTCGCCTGAATCCTATGCCTAAAGGATTCTTTCATTATCCATGACTGAGGAACTCAAAAAATCTTATTTTCCATAAGCGTCTCTCAAAAAAAAAACAGTATTTCAATGCAATCAAGTGGATAGATACTAAGGATGAATCCGGTCCAAAGCCATATTAAACGGTCCAAATTAAAACAAATCACAAATGGAAATCAAACCTACTTATTTTTGATTTTGAGCAATTTGACTATTAATTATAAAAAACTACAACAAAAACCCACCACTGTATAACTTCAGAATAGGGTGGCGGCGGTCTGAAAGTTGGGTCAATAGCATCAATGGTCCAAACTGGAAGTGGATCGCGTCGGTTTTGCGGGCGTGTTGTAGCATGCCGCCTATGCCGTGATGCCGATCGAAATCGAGGATTTCGTATGCGACACAACAAAATCATTAACAAACCCATGACCAATAAAAAGATACCAGTGCAAAAAAAGATCCAGCTTCGAACTACAGCCTGAAATAATTTATTTGGCCAAACTGGAATTTATTATTCAAAGTTTGCTACAGTTGGGATATTTTAATGAAAACCAATATGGAAAAAATTAATTCAATGGGTTGATATAAGAATAGATGGAGAAACTTTCCAGCAAAAAGAATAAAAGGTAAAAGAAAGAGGAATGGGGGTGGAAGGTTGAGTTAAATGTCTGTGTACGTTGACAAAAAAGATCAGCAAAACGACATATAAAAAAATTTGAAGGATCTCAACTCTAAATTTTTTATGTTAAAAATAGTCATTTGATTCACATATGTATCAGCGACATCACGAGGTTTATGGAAACAATTGAAGTAAAAGGGCAATGAGAATTGAAGCAATTTCAGTCAAAATACTTGTTAATTCATCATAGATTACGTGTTGTTTAGTGATAAAATATCAGAAAAATTTTACCGGGTCTGTGCCCTTCAGCAATGTAACAAGACCAACGAGAAAAAACACGAGTCCAATAAATAGACATGCAGCAGATGCAAAAGCCAACCTGAATTGCAACGATTTAAAAAAAAACACCGTCTGGCACTTCATCATGATGGTGAACGAATATTACCAAAGCAATAAACCACATGCTAGCAACGACTGATTAAATTGATAACGCTTTAATAAATCATTAAAAATGTAAAGTTTAGGGCCTTTACGAGAAACGGCACCACCAGTGAATTAAGCTTATAATATGCCTTTAGAGCATCTTTCTCATACCACAATTTCTCTCCGTTAAAACATAAAAAATATTTTTCCTCAATCTTCTAAATTGCTCACATCCGTTCATTCATTGTTACTTATACGCTATACAATCTTAAGAAAATGAAATTATTGACGAAGAACGCGGAAAAATTCTTATTTCTTTGATCATGAATTCATGAAAAAAATTTTAAGCGAACAACTTTGATGCATTAAATAAGTGGAGCACAATTTTTGGTAGTGAATGCCCATAAATTTCCTCACAAAATTTCTATAAAATTCTGAAGAACAAAAACAAAAATATTTATTTTTTGTTTATTTAAAGTATACTAAGAACGATGTTCAAATAGAATTAACACGATAGAATTAGCAGCGTGTTAGATTATGTCTGTTAACATATTGCGATGAGATAATTTAATAATGTTCATTTTCGAGAAAACTTAATAATTATTGATGAGGCAAGCATTTTGTCGTTGAATGCTACAAAGACGGAAAAAAATTTTGTCGCATGTGGCTTTTTGCACCATTAATTAATAATATAAAATCATAAGCTTGTATGCAAAAGAAGCTAATAATTTCATATGAGATTTCTTAATAGTAAATGCATTTCAGAAAGTAATTGATGTTTTTTTAAAGAGCCCTCACCATTACTTGTTAGACTCGTTGCCCCGGCTTGCTACACTCGTCAAATATGCCACGGAAGTCCTTTGGAGATAGAAGTACAAGTGAATAACCCAGATTTTTCGACAAGTTTACTCCTGGGGAAATATAACCTCAGCATCGGCCCTCCGAATTGAGCAGCAATTGATTAGATGTGATCGACATCCAATTTATTATCACTACGTTTCTTTTTATCAGCAAAGAATAACAGACCACCAAATTTTGCGATTCAGACCTTTCTTGTTTAGGGACTATCTTATAGGAAATAAAAATAAATAAATGACGATTGCGGTCTCGCCGAAGATAATCACTTCGTCTCCTTTCTCTGCGAGACTGTAGATGTTATCACATTTCATGGTGCTTTATTTTGTTATTAGATTGCTGGTCAGCCGATGTTAAATATGTTTACATAACCGAATGTTTTAATAGAATAACTATTCATGTGTTACTCGGTTGTAATTAGAAAAAGAACGCTGACACCATTGACACCATTTGAATATATTATTAAGATATTTCAATATTTAATTAATTTACAATAAAACGAGCCCACGTAAGAAAAATCCATGAATAAATATGCTCACTTTTCTTGATCTTAACTAGCGATTACCGAAAGTTTTTATTTATATGGGAAAAAAAAGATTTAAAATTTTCAGATATTGAGATATAAAAAAATAACTGAAGCATTTCCTTAAAAATCAACTGAAGAGTGCTTGAAACGATGGCGCGATTTTTTTAATACTAGTAAAAAGTAAAGTTAAAAGACTTACATCGGCCATGAGTCAGTAAAGAAACACGATAGAGCGATCCAAGAAGATGTAGGTGAATTCTCGTAACGTGGCGCCATCACTTTCTGGCTTTCAGAAAATAGAATATATAATAGAAGTGAACTGAACTGAATCAAAGCAAAATAGGCAGTGTTCTCGAAGTCATAAATTCTTATCAGTTACATAGCAAATGACCGCAATGATGGCACCTTATTTCTGAAAATTTCTCACGAATTGATAAGATATATATGAAACATTCGTTGCTGATCACGCAAATGAAATAACGTTCATCTCGCACGATATATATCCATATAATTTTCAGTGATTATTATATAAAATTAAAATAAATTCACTTTCATAAATATTGATTTAATTAGAAAAAGATTTAATTCGTTTTCATGCTTTATTTTATTTTTTTCAATTTTTTTATATTCATAATTTTATATTCATAGGCCGGAAAAGCTTCACTCTTGCAGCCAGCAGAGTTAACTTAATTAGTAATGGTGCGAACTGTTAGAAGACGAATCATAAGAATTAATAAAAATATACAAAATTTAATTAAACTTTTCGCAAGCCTGAAACAAAAAATTGCAAATTTTTATTATTTCAAAAACTAAAATGATTTTAATAAAATCGTTGAAAACGAAACATTAAATTTTTCTTCCAAGAAGAAATCATGAAAGTTAAAAATAATAAATATCGAGGCAAATTTTGGGCAACTTGGTGGTTCATAAACCACACTTGTATAAAATTACCAGTATAATAATTTCACTTTTAAAAATAATTTCACCCTGAACTAAGAGAGAGATACTTCCTTTTTCCAAAAATTTTACTGTTATAACTTCTAGAATCAGAATTTTGATGAAACAAAAGTGATTTTGTATTTCGACCCAGTGAAAATTTATTTAATGAAATAGGCAGATTGGATAGATTGAAATTAATGATATGAAATAATTTTGGCATATTTTAGATATGAAAATGATTGAGGAACAAATGTCCTTTTTTAAGATAAAAACTGTAAGAAAAAAGTTTCCTTTAAACGATTCTCCCGCATAAATTTCTTAAAATTTGGTAAGAAGTGGACAAATATAATGCAACATCTCTAGTTAAAAATTGTATTCCAAATAAAATCATAAATAAAATGATAAGGAAATAATTATTATTCATCGAATGATAAGAGAATGGATAATATAACATGCTAAGCGAGGCTTTCTTAATGATGCTAATTATATATGAATGATGTCCCATTATTTCGATTATATGGGTGATTTCCAGAAAATCGTCAGAACTGGTTTGAGCCAATTCGTCGATACGAAATAGCATTATAGGCATGAGAAAATAAAGCGATGAACTTGCTAGAGCTTTATCAGAAAATTCACATCTGAATTATTTTTATCGTCCTTCTTATGCTATGACTGCGGTTTAATGATTCTATGATTCTCCAGGAATCACTACGCATTTTTATAAACCAGTCACCAGTCGAAGTTGTTTCCTCTGAATAAGGTAAAGCAATAGCAAGGCAACTGAAGCACATAGAAGCAATTTTCTTTAAAATCCTTACAATTAGCAAGAATTTGCCCTGAGCGCATTCTTTATTCGCTATTTATTTATTGTTAAATTTATATAACAATATAGGAAAATGATAGCCATTATTTCTAATTTCTAATTATGATTATTATTTCTAATTATTTGTTCAGATTAACAAACTAAATGAAGAGAAATGTGAAAGATTTACGAAAAAACCATTTGATAGGTGTAAAAATAACAGACATTAACAAATTTACAATATGCTGAAAAGGGACTCTCAACATGTTTCTCATGCGATCTTCGTCAAAACGACATTTTTACTGCTTCAACTTCCGGTCGCCTTTTTTTTATATTGAAATTTTTCTATGAGGAAAAAGATGTACAATGTTATTGAAATAATTCGCCTTTAACTGCTTTATATTTTCGCCACCTCAATAAAATAAAAGACCTTTCTACTATAGTGAATCTCCTTCACCAGAAAATCAAGACAGAATTACAGGTGGGTTCCCAGCTATACCTGGATTTCATTCCTTTTAAACAGGTTTACCACTAATAAAAAGGAGGGATCTATCATAGGTGGCTTGCGCTTAGTCGAAACAATATGTCTTATCTCCAATATCTGTTTGAAATAAAATCAGAACACAGTTCAAAAATGGAAAAGGAAAGCTAATGTGCTAATATACAAAAAGTCTTGAAAAACAAATAACTAAAGGAAGCTTCTACAGAATAATGAATGAAAATTTTACAAAAACTAGCAACTGCTAGATTTTCTCATTTCAAACGAGGTACTGGTGTCTAAAATATCTAAAATATTTTCCAGTGCAAACATTACCTTAAGTTTTAATACGAATAATCTCTCACTCAAAACCATATAAACAAGAAATTTTAACGATAAATATGGCATTCTTCGAGACAGTCTGCTTTTTTAATGACATTTGTGCGAGTTAAAATCTTTCTTATGCCATGAGAGTTGTTTTATGCAGTAATCCGCATAAGGGCGCTAAATTTGCGCTATGAATGATTCAAGGATTATGCCATATCTCGGATATCGTTTTTAAAGTTTATTAAATGACAAGAAAGCACGTCATAAAGTAAGCGATAAAAAAAAGTGTGAACGAATAAACCCAATATTATTGATATAGATAGCCTAATTTTAAGTTCCACGCGGGAAGAAGACAGCGATGCTTTCACTTGAGATTTGGCAAATTAATTTTACGAATATAACCAAAATAATATAATCATTTAAAATCATTTAAAATCCGATTAACTTTTCAGCAGAACGGCAAAAAACGTCATTCATTTATTTAATTAAATCGTTTCATAATAACAACTGGCAAAAAAATAAATCTTTTAATCAAAAAGCTTATTAGCAAGAAAGCTCGTCGCTACGATGCGAACAAATATGAACATTGAACATCTGAGCCTTTTGCGTGAGAAAATTTCGAACTTTTTGCTCACTTTACAGTTTACAAATGTGCAAATAACTTTATATGCACTCGTAAACTTACTTACAGATATAAGCGCACTAACATAGGCAAATTGTTATTCAGCTTACGGGATTTATTTGTGGTCGCCCACATACTCAATAAATCCATACATATAATTATTTAAATCTTTTAAAATAGGTGGACATGCATTAATACTCTTTCATCTAAAAGTAAATTAATAAAAAATTGTGAATATAAGAAAGACAGGAGCTATGTTGTTTCGACTAAGAGCAAGCATTAAAAGACGATTCCCGGCGGAGAAAAGCTGTCTACATTTCCAGCGCCAAGTGATTCTCTCATGACAAAAAAATAAATCTTTTGGTCAAAAAACTTATTAAAGATACAGCATCACCCTAACAGCCATTAGAAAAAGAAGAAATATGATAAGATTAAACGGCAACAAATATATATATATATATTTTTTTCACCATTACTGGATAAACCCGCTCCGCTGGCTTGTCGACTGGACAAGTATGCCAGAGAGTTTCTTGGCGATAGAAATACAGGTTAGTCGCCAGCACCATAAGGATTTTTGGACAGGTTCATTCCTGCTGGGAATAGCATTGGCGCTTTTAGACTATATATATATGAAGCTAAATCCCACGAAATAACCATTCAGAATTGACAGTCATGCAATTAGATTATTCCCCAAAAGCATTTATGATTATTCTTCTAATAGCTTTCAACATTATTGGTTAGGCTGACTCCACTGGCTACAAGGGTAAGACATTTCAAAGTTGCTCGATCCGATGCCATCTTTGACAATTATAAAAGCCATTCCTTCTTCCATCTTCTAAGTCCACATATTGCTGGTCTGTATCAATATGCTCAAAATCTTTTCTAACTCCTCATTTTTGATGCAAACGAAGGCGACGCTCTGCTATGGCTAAAAATGCAGGTGTTATTTGAGAGAAACAATCATGTGCGATTTTATCCACTCAACGAACTTGTAAAATGTATCATAGAAATGAGTGGTCAAAGGTAGATAGATAATACATTCTTAATATATGTGTATGTATATATATATATATATATATATATGTCTCGCATCCACGTAACAAGATTCGAACGAATTAATACTATAGGTCTTCCGTTTTGATGGTAATTTCACGACGACTCTATAATTTTTTCGCTAACAGGAAAGACACGTTTTTGGCTATCGTTATCCAAATTATTATCTCATCTTTCGCTTAGTCGTTTGGGATTAGAGTGAATCCAAGATATTTAAAGCCTGTCTTCTCAACGGGTGATGAACTGATGAAAACAGGTTTTTTGTCAGTTTTTGATATATAAGATGAAAAAATTTTCGTTTCATTTATATTGACTCTGATTTCGATTCTCGCTGCAGTTGTCGACATTATTCATTGTTCATTATTTGCCTTTCATCATTACTTTCAGCAAAAAGGACTACATCATCAATGTATCCAAGATCTGTGATACGATGCTCTAGACTGATTTGTAAATGACGCAGCCTTGAGGAACATCAGTTTTTATTTTGAAGAAATTTGTCAGTTCCCACAGTCCTATGCCAATGTGCGCTGATAAAATTCCTTTATAAGTCGAATGATCTTCTAGGGAACACCGTTGCATTCCATCACCTTCGAAAGCGGCATTCAATTGAATCGAAGGTAGCCGCAAAGTCGATGAAACACGTAATGGTGGGTTGCGGATATTTGAAGCGATGTTCCAACACCCTTCTTAACGTAAATATCTAGTCAATACAATAGCCCGGTCTAAATCCAGCTTACTTAAGGCTTATCCTGCTATTTCATACTGTCATAATTTATTCAATAGAAGAGGAGTGAAATCTTTCTCGTAGATATCTCGTAATAGGTTGATTTATCGATAATTGTCTCAATATGTCCTGTCATCTTTCTTAAAAATTGGGAGCAGAACTTTTTTGCTACAGACATCTGGTATCAGATATTAATTTTTTCGTCCAAACCAAGAAATAAATTTATTGAAGATGTGTTATTTGATGGTGATGGACAACATTTAAAGATTTCACCCTGAAGACCATTACTTCCATTTTCAAGGCCACATAGCTCCAGTAGCGATTTCAATAC